CTAAGAAATGCACAACCTCTAAGCACAAAACTAAGTCTACCTTTTGAACACCTGCTCTCCTTACCCTCCAAGGTTCAGCTTAAACATTAACCTCACCTACACAACTACACATCTGTAGTATAGAACAAATTGGTTATTATCTGATTGTGATTTTCTCTCCCACAGTGAGCAGTGGGACTGAGAGCACCAGAAGAGCAGAGATAGTTCTCATTCACAGATGAACCACCAGCACCTGACAAGTATACCCAGAGGCTTTCTACAACAATAAACCTTTTTTCATTAAGTTTTAGAGGGAAAAAGGATTATCTTAGGTCCTTCAGTTACAAATCAACTCAATTTTGCAAGCATTTGAGTACCAGAAGTATACATAAAAAGAAGTTCCAGCCCTCAAGCAGCTTACAGTGAGGGTGGCGGATGTAAGATATAGGTAGACAACTTACAAGAAAGAAGGGTAATAAAAATAAGTGTGTATAATCAGCACTTTAGGTCAGAAAAAGAACCCTGAGAATTCTAAGAAATTTTAAGAACTGTAAGAAACTGGAAAGAGGTTTAAGAAAAAAGTAGCCATTATCCCATTCTGTATCCCCACTTATTACTCAGAAAAACTTAATGAAAAAAGAAGAAATTTAAAGAAGGCCTTAGAAATTTATCCTGGCTTCCTTCACACACACTACCAATGTCAGGGTCTCATTCAATTCCTTGTTATCCACTAAACTAAAACTAGTCTTGGAACAAATCCTTTCAGATCCAGAATTTCTCTGAAAATTTCACAGCAAAAAGAAGTGGTACACTTTTCTTTACACTAAATCCTGATTATCTTTAAGCCATAACATCCGATTTTAGGTCCTCAAAATGTGCTAAATGGAATTAGTTTGCACAATACAATTTCAAGTCAGTATCTTTAAACTGGCCTCATCTAGGAGCTAACTCTATTCAAAGTAGTTTAAATTCATTTAATAAGTATATTTTGTTTCTGAAGTACATTTTCTGTTTCGTCTAAAAAGCAAGTGAGTGGAAGGGGTGCTGGAATGAGGAATCTACAAATCCAGACACCAAGCATTATCTGTAGGTAAAGTATATAACTATTGTCATGTAGGAGCCTGCAAACTCGAAGACCACACAATGACACTTCTACACTATAACTTCCTTAGAAAAAGTAAAATTTACCAGCCAATTTTCTCATCTTTATCAACCCAGATTATTCATGACAAAGGTCAGAAAATTTGTGAAGCTTCTCCAAGACCAAATGACCTTGGGCCTGTTAATTACTTAACTTCTCTGAGCTTGCTTCCTCAAATTTAATATTGAAAAGGGAGTTTGAATAGATGCCCTCAGAGAAAAAACTGACTTAATGTTAACTAAAATAATTACAGACTGACTTCAGTAAGGCTTTTAGTTCAATCCTAATTCATTCATAAACTGAAAAATAAAGAACTGTGGCAGTTATTAAATATGTCCACAAATTCTTTGATACTCCCCCATTGGAGAGGTGGAGCTTAATTCCTCTCCCCTGGAGTTCTGGCTGGATTTAGAGTATGGAAAAGTGTTGGTGTGTGGTTTGAATCACTTGCTCTGGTGATAGCTAACCAGCACCATGTTGTGAGGACACTCAAGCAGTTTCATGGAGAAGAACTGAGACCTTCTACCCGTCAGCTAGCATTGACTGACTTGCCCCTGAATGTGAGCCACCTTGGAAGGTGACCATCTAGCCCTAGTCAACATCTTAACTGTAACCTCATGAAAGATCTCAACCCAGGACCAACCTAGCTAAGCTACTCCCAAGTTCCTGACCAACAAAAAACGTACGAGATAAACATGTTTTGTTTATTTTAAGCCACTAAATTTTGGCTTAATTTATAACAGCAAAAGAACTAATACACCAGTGTTTTCCATACTATGGACCTGGCCCATTTATGGTTGATGAAATCAATTTAAGACAACACTAGCAACTTAAAAAAAAAAAAAAATAGAAAAAGAGTACATCATTCACTCATATTAAGTACTATTTCCTAAAAAATTTGTTTCCGTTTTCCATATATACATGTATACTACGTATTAATTTAAAATGTGTTTCTTTGAATCACAGGTGAAAACATTTAAACTCACAGGTCTACACCAGTAGCCTTAAAACAGAAAGCTCCCTAAAACATAGGGAGTTCTACTTGAGGGACTATGGTCTCAATAACAACCAACTATAAAACAAGCGTTTTCTATAAACTTAATGACCAAACCAATGAAATATAAGGCACTCACAAAATACATCTCTTCTGATTTGTGTTAGCTTGATATAAAACAGAGGGCATGGTATCTGACCTAGACTTTAAAGTCTACCATGTAAAAGCATGTCACTTTCCTAATTTAACTAGTTAAAAAAAAAAAAAAAAGTCCAAAGAACATCCTTCATAAATTTAACAAAAAAGCTGCTTTGGGCTTTAATCACATTTATTACTTCCTTCTCCTGTTTTTTTCTTATCAATGTTAAAATATTAATAAATTCCTTCCTCGACCTGAGCGTACATACAAGGTTTATTATTATTAAATTATTTTCTGCCCACCGTCCAACCAAGTCTTCCTGAACTCCCCTCTTCAGAACACAAGCAACTGCATATTTTTATGGTTGTGTCACAGAACACAAACCAAGACTTTCAGTAATAAAGACTTTGCAAGTATTTATGCATAACTTAATTTTTGATGAATCCATTCAGATTATTTGTTTGCACTGGTTTTCTTTGAAGTAAAATGCATAAAACTTTTTGAACTGATTTGCCAGATTTATTTTCAAAATACCAAAGTAAACTGGCATGCACTAAAAAATAATTTAACCTTTCATTTGTCTTAATACTTAACTTGGGGCATTTGTGGCTGTCCCACAACCAGACTTACTAGAAAACTGATAGCTTCCGTTGGCCTTGTCCAAAGATACACTAACCACCCCTTGTCTGCTGGGGCTATTTTCTCCTCAATCTTTGCAGATATAAGCATCTACCTAAATGTTTCTACTTCACCAAGTTGTAGAGAGCAGATATAGTCAGTATAGCTCTCCTTCTAATACTATCACTTGATGATGGTGACTAAAAATCAAAATAATCTGCATACTTGGTAAAATTCAAGTGTGCCTGCTTATGCCTTGAGCAAATTAGCAGCAAAGTAGCCCAGTGCTAAATTTAAGAGCTCTCCAAGAGAAAAGGATGCTCTTGACATCACTTTCTTTTAGGAATGATAGTTTCAGGGCTTACCTGTTTATATTTCTATAAACCTAAGTATAGTACTGGGAAACTATTTACTGATCTTAAGAATAAGCATAGTTACTTTGACTTAAGGCCAATTACTCTAGACACATAGGCAAGTTTCTGTCCAAAGGCTTCAAGTCTAGCATTATTAGTCTTGCTCACTTTTTCTTTTGGTTTTTCTTAATCAGTACACTCTTCACATGAGCACTCCACAAGCACAATAACCTTGAAAATTTTCAAAGTCCAAAAGAGTTAAGAACCTAAAGATCTCTAACTATGACTCTCTACAGAACTCTCAAAAATCATCTTAGCTTCCTAGCAAGATGAAACTCTACAGCCAATCCAAGAAGCTGGCATGCAAGTCTGAAGGCCAACTTTGATCTTTTAGGGTCAGTGCACTGGAATACTTAGATCAGGGTCAGAATTTGGTTTTGGAGGGAGATATTTAACCACTTAACAAGGCATTTATCTAGCTGATCAAAGAACAAGAAAGTTCAAGGCAGGTGTATACTTAATCTATGATTCACTTTTGAGCCACTGAAGTTACACAGCTGCCTATTTTGTCTTTAAAGAAGGAATTAGTCATCAATAGCTGCAGGTATAACTGGACTGCTAAATCAAACTCAGATTTTTAGGAGGGACACTTCTGTATATTAAACTGTCTTAAGATAGTATGCTTGCCTTAAATGACTTGTAAACTATGTGGTAAACATTGTGCTAGAATCTGGCTGTGTAGCCATAGGATAGTCAAGGCACTGACAACCAGGTTAGCATGCTTTAAAACCAAAGACTAACTTGGAAACTGCTGCCTCCATTTCCTTATGAATCAAGCCATATCCTTTCTTAAGTCTTCAAAATCCTAAATATGTAAAATAAGGAAATCATTAAATTCCAGTCATCAAAGGACTAAATTGTACTTCCAAAGAAAAGAAATGCTAGCAAAATGGCAACAAAAAAGTAAACCTTAAAATATTAAGAATAACCATCAGAAAATTCTAACTCCCCTGCCATTGTCACGTTTCAGGGTCTCCCTGGTAAAAGATTTTCTCTAAATCTAACCAGAATAGCCAACTCTGGAATCTGTACCTCAAAGACCAAAACTTAACAGGAGAGTAAACTGTTAAGTAACAAACATGCTTTGCAGACGGATTTTGAGGGGACCAAAGCTTCAAAAACTAAAACCCAATTACTGAAATAACCATGAAATTCAATCCTAACAAACACATCTTCCATCACACTCAGGTAGACTGTAAGGAAGCACCTCTTCCTCCATAAACAGCACATACAGGCATCTCTACCTCAGTATGACTTTCAATTACCGTTGATGATAAAAAGGTAGTGGTGGTGTACAGTATCTCCCAGGTTCTAAAGTCCACTTCATTTTTTAAGTCCCAAGATTAAAACTTAAACTAATACGGGAAGTCAAGGGGCAATGGTACAGGCCCAGAGATGTCAAGCAGCAGCTAGCAGAAGGATCAGAGCAGTAGTTCTCCATCCCTAGCCCGAGCATCTCAAGGATTTGTCCTACCTAAACACTTTATGTAAACAAGGGGCTTGTGACTCAAGCCTCCAGCCCCAATAGGTGGAGAGAAGTTTCCTCGCCTCGGCTGCACATGGTCTGCAGAAGTTTGGCTGGAGCTGAGAGCCGAGCCTGGGTGGGAGCGGCAGTGTAGTGCTGCAGGCGGCGGCGGTGGCGGCGGCGGCAGAGCAGCAGGAGGCGGAGGCGGAGGCGGGAGGGGGGAGGGGAGCGGCTGGGGGGGCGGAGGGGGCTCTTGCCGCCACTGCTCCCTCGCCGCCTCTCCCCCCCGGCGGGAGCCGCTCTCAGCCTCTTTGCACTAGTCGCTCCGCTCTCTCGGTCATGTGACCTTAACGTAACCGGACAGGAAAAGCCCCGCCGCCGCCGCCGCCGCGCCGGAGACACCGACCGCGGCGGCAGCAGCAGCAGCAGCGAGAAGCAGAGGCGGCGGCGGTGAGGACAGCACAGCCAAGGCTGCCCAGCGGCGCCTGCTCCACACCCCCCGCCGCAGCAGCACCGGCGACAGGTAAGCGCGCACCGCCTCCGCCTCCCGGGGCCGGTGCCCACGTGCCACCCCTGGCCCGGGCTCCGGGAAGGCGGAGGGGGGGCGGGGGCCACCGGAGCTCGCAAACGGTTCCGGCAGCGGCGGTGGCAACAAAGAAGACGAATGACCCTCGTCCCAGGGCTCCGGGTGAAGGCAGGCGGAGGGCCCGGGCCACACGGGGAGCCGGTTCTGGGAAGCGAGGGCAGGGGCGCCCCGCGGGGGCGGTGGCGGCTGCGCCTGGCGCCGGACTCTGGCCGCCTGACAAAACCATCCCCCGGAGCCAGGCGGCGGCGAGTCGGCGGCGGCTCCATCCGGGGCTTTGCGGGAGGGGGAGGGGACGGAAGCCGAGAGGGCGGGCGGCGGATCGGAGGAGGGAGGGAGGAAGGGGAGGGGGGCGATTCGCGTTCCGTTCCCCGTGGCCGGTCCCTCCCTTCCCTCTGCCACCGCAAAGAGCGTCCCGAGCGGCGGCGGCCGGTCAGCGTCCAGCGCTGGAGCCCCGAGAGGCGGGCCCGTCAGGTGCGTAATCCTTCCGACGCCTCGCCGCCGCCTCCTGCTGCTGCCGCCGCTGCTTCTTCGGCGGCAAGGCCGCGAGCTGCGGAAGTGGGTTTGGGGGAGGGGAGGGAGGAGAGAGGGGGAGGGGAGGGATCCGGTCCGACCGGAGCAGGCCCGGCCTCTCTGGCGCTTCTCCCAGCTGCAGCGGCTCCTACAGCTGCTGCCGCTACTGCTGCGGCTCCGCCTCCCCGCTCGCGGGCGGGGGCGCGCACGCGCGCTTCCGGCCTCCTCGGGTCTCGCGCTGTCTCCGGCTCTCGCGCGCGCTCATCCCCTTTCCTTGTCTGGGCCACCCCCCGCCCCCGGCGCCGGGCTGTTGCGCCGGCCGGGGCGTTGCGCACGGCGTAGGCGTCGGCATTGTGTTAAACTCCGCGGGACTTGGGGCGAGCGCGCGCGCGCACACGGAACTGAGGGGAGCGGCGAGCGTGCGGCGCGGCCAGAGTGCGTCGCCCTCCCCTTTCCGCAGCCCTTTGGAGCCGGGGGCGGGGCCGGCGAGACCGGAGTGGCCCCGCGGGCCAGGGCGCTGCGCACCCCGGGCCCCGCCTCCGGCCGGGCCCCCGCCCCTTGGGCCGGGGTGGGGCGAGGCGGCCGTTGGGCGGCTGTGGGGCGGGCGAGGGACGCGCGGGCCGTGCTGGGCGCCGCCCTGCTCGCCCCTGGCTGCGGCTCCTGCCGCGGCGTCGAGCGCGCTGCGCCGGCGGCGATCTGCGCCCGCGATAAGGCCGGCCTCGCCCGCAGTTTCCGCTGCTCTGCCTCGACCCGCGCGGCCCGGGCTCCGGGAAGGGAAGGTCGGGGGCGCAGTCGTGTCTCGGCGTAGCGAAACCCCCAAACCATTAATTTTTAAACAAGGCTGCGAAGAGAGCTAAGCCAGAAGCTGCGAGGGAAGCGAGGTTTTCGTCGCTTTTAGATGGTAGTGAATCAGAGAGGCAATAAAGAAGGCGAGGGCAGAGCGCAGGCAAAGTACTGGGCAGGGTGAAAACACTTACTGCTACGCCATTTACTGGAGACTTGCAACTACTCCAACTCCTAATTATGCCCTAGGGATGCGACGCAGGCTCTGTGCTGCCCCTCCCCACCCGTCTGCATTGTTCATTTGCTCTTTCATCACACAATGGGCCTACTTAGTGTGTGTCTCGATTCTATTCATTTTTATAGGGTATTGTTTTAGTAAAATAAAGCATAAAGAAGGGGGTCCGGAATTACGGGCTCACGCTGAACTCCAGAGTGCTGGGTTTACTTTAAACGAGTTGACTTGTCCTCTAGTGTACAGTCTGCACTGTAGACCATCTGTATTGACCCTGAAGGAGCACCGGGGTAAGGTGTACATATCACTAGCGTTTTAGTGTGAGAGGCCTGAAATTTTAATGTAAAATTAGAACTAAGCCATTTAAATTTCCGTTCTCTGATTTATCACAAACCAGATTAATTGGCAACGTAAATTTCATTTTGCATTCTGAATGACCTTCTTGGTGTGTATACAGGATGTCTTCAAACTGTTAAAAGGTAATTTTTAAGAAGATAGTAATTTACCGCCAATACTACATTCTTTTTAACTGGGCATTTCTCATTTGGTAAACTTGTGGTTTATACAAGTTTATTTGCTAGCCAAAGCATTATAGTATCTAAAAGTACAAGACGTGGTGTGCCAGTGGTATTAAGTGCTACCAATGGTCAGCAGTGGAGGAACCAATTAATGGGCATGGTATATAAAGCACCCCTAAAACTTTGTAGTACAGTCCAGCTTCTTGCCAGTTTTAAGTCTGTACTTTTATAAGGTAATATAAAAATGTATCCACCCCAAGCCTCTAAGGAGATACATCCTGTGATTTCAAGTACCCACTGCACATCACTGAGTAAGGGGATATGTGCTTTCCCGTTTGAGAATCACAGAAAGAGAAGTAAAGAGTGAAGGACGCATTTAACGCTGATCAATGTGGCATTGGCATAGAATCATCTTCGGTAGAGATGAGGGCTCTACTAGTTTCTTAGTGCTTCCTCCCTAGACCGAATCACCTTTCCTGTAGTAACTTTGAAAAGTTGGGTAAGTTGTGTGGTGCCAGAATGTCGTGGGGAAGGAAGATTGGAAGAACTGATTTGCTGGAGATATTTACCGTAAATTTCCAAATGTACCTGGCAAAAGGTCATTTATCACTTTTCCTCATGCTCTTTGGGTCTCCAAACATGACCCTGAAAACCTAAAAGAGAATTCAAAATTTTAATTTTCTTGAATAAAAAAAAATTGTAAACATTCTAAGCATTAGACTGAAAACATTTTTAAAACCTTTTTGTGCTCAAATAGGTTACGATTTTTATTTGCTAATTAAACTGTTAAAAATGTTATTTTGAATGAATAGTAAATAAGATTAATCGGCATTTTTACCATGCTGATACAACCATTAAGATGTGGAATCAGGCAGGGCGTGGTGGCTCACACCTGTAATCCTAGCATTCTGGTGGGAGGCAGAGGCCGGAGGATCACTCTCAAGGTCAGGAGTTCCAAACCGGCCAGAGCAAGAGCAAGACCCCCGTCTCTACTAAAAATAGAAAGAAATTAATTGGCCAACTAAAAATATGTAGAAAAAATTAGCCGGTCATGGTGGCACATGCCTGTAGTCCCAGCTACTTGGGAGGCTGAGGCAGCAGGATTGCTTGAGCCCAGGAGTTTGAGGTTGCTGTGAGCTAGACTAACACCACAGCACTCTAAGCCAGGGCAACAGAGTGAGACTCTGTCTCCAAAAAAAAAAAAAAAAAAAAAAAGATGTGGAATCTGTACTCAGGGTACATTTACCAGGAGTTGTAAGACCAAGACATTTGGGACCATTTTTTATGGTACAGAGGTCAAGTTAGAGGCTGGTATTTATTCTGAAACATAGAATCCCTAGTTGACATGCAGGAGGTATACATCATATGACTTTGATTCTCACTTCAAGAAAGCTCAGTGTGCAAAGATAGAAATTTGTATAGCACTTTTATGTATCTGCCTAAGTACTTACAAAAACTATTTTTTCTTTGCGAAAGGTTTTAGTATACTATTTGTTTCATAGTTGCCTCCTAAATTCTGCACCAAGTAAGGCTGAGCATCAGAATCATTTGAAAAAATGATATTGAAGTGTGCATGTTCTCCTGCACCAAGCTAGTCGTGTAGATTGTCTGAGAACCCAAAGTGATTCTGAACAGTGGCTGTTGAAGATGTGGTCCACTCTACAGACCACTGTGAATCCCCAGGATCCTTTCAGAATTCCATAAGGTCAAAACTATTGTTATAGTAATACTATTGGCCTTTTTCACTCTGTTGACAAAATGTGTTGACTTTGGGAAGATCTGCTTAACACAGTGAGCTCATATTTTCCAAATGACCAATGGATGATGTTAAATATCATGCATAGGTAAAAGCCACTGAAGTACATAGACCAATGAACTTTGCTATAATTGAGCTGGCAGGTCTATCCATTGATGTAGTTTTAGATCATACAACTAACCTTTAAGAAACTACCACTTGTCAAGTTTTGGCATAGTATCAAAGAGGAATAGCCACAGTTGCCTGAAAAGGCTATTAAATTTGTACTTCTCCTTATTCCAACTATGTAGGTGAGGCTGGATTTTATTAAATACTCAAGCAAAACAAGTACCACAATAGAATAAATTGAGAAGCAGAGTAAATGCAGAATCCAGTTGTCTCTTAAAGAGAATTGCAGAAATATAAAAGAGGCCACTTCACTGTTGTTTTTGAAAACAGTTTTTCATAAAAATGTGCTATTTATGTTAACATGTAATGGGTTTATTGTTGTTTTTAATTGAATTAATAAATATTTTTTTAATTTCTCAGTTTTAATTCTAATATGGTAAATATCAATAGTTAAAATCCATATAAACATACAACTGGTGACCTCAGTCATTTTAAAGAGTGTAAAGAAGTCCTAACACCAAAAATCTTGAGAATTTCTGACCCAAAATATTGAAATATGTTATTCAATTAAGACTGAGTTAAACACATTTGGAACTCGACTATGGCGTGCCTTGAGCTAGACCTGTAGGTGATTACATTTTCCTCAGATTAATTTTGCAAATCATCATATGGCATATAAAAAAGGAAAGTAGTCACTACTTGGTGGGTTATTAGAAGCAGATAAAGTTTTTAATTTTGCTGTGTGTGATCATATGTAGGTTTTCTTAAAGTTTATTGTAGTATAATGCTTTTTGGAATTATCACTTTAATATCAACTCTTTATTAGCCATAAATTTCTGACCTACCTGTACCTGGCACCTAAAAAATCTCTGAATTGCCTCCTTATGACTCCCACTCACATTTGGAAACTAAAATCTGATTTAAATGTTAACATAAAGAAAATGAAATTGAAAAGACAAACCTTTTATAAATACAATGCTTTCCAATGTGAACATAAGTGCTATTAGTTTATGCCCCTCCTTTTTTTAATTATTATGGGAGAGGGTTGACTAAAGAAATGTTAAGAAAAATATACCGATCTGTCATCACAACTAAATAAGATGCATATCCTACCTTTGAAATACAGTTTTAAAATATATTAAAATTCAACTGACCAGCTTCATTCAGGTTTACTTCATGGACCCTCCCATATTAATTATTAACAATATTAATTTGAAAAAGCAGTTTTTCATCCTGGTAAGTGGTATAAACTACTTGAAAGAATCAATCTTACTTGTGGGTAATGCTGCGTGTATTACTGTAATGTCTTGTGCATTACAGTATTCATTTATGCTTCACTTAAATAAAATCAAGAACTTCAGAGGACCCTTTTAGTGCTCTTGAAACGGGTAGTCTAAGTGGTGTTTAGTGTCTTAGAAGAGCTATTATCTTTAAAAAGGGTATCATCAATTCCCAAAAGCTGTTTTGGTCTCCCGTTCTTATACTGAAAGTGAAGGGAGAACTTAGGTTGTCCAAATAGAACGTGGTTATGTGTCCCATTCAGCTGCCCCTCCAAAAGATGAGT